TGTATTTCTGCGTAACAAATTGCACAGACTGAGTGACTTAAACCACACCTACTGATTATCTTTCAGTTTCTGCAGATAGAAATCTTGGCACAGCATAACTGGGTTCTTTTCTCCAGGTCTTAGCAGGCTGGAATCAAGGCATCAGCTGGACTGTGTTCCTTCAGGGAGGCTCAGGGTCCAATTCCAAGCTCATTTGAGGTGTCAGCCAAGTTCAGTCCCTGTGGTTGCCAGGCTGAGATGCATGATTTCTTGCTGGCTGTGGGTTGGAGGGCACTCTCAGCTCCTAGAGGATACTTAGGAGGTCTTGGCCATCCTCATGTCCCTATTTCCCTCACATCCTGCATCTAATACATCCCCCTTTGGTTCCACCTTCAGGGTAGATTCAAAATCCAACACCCCTTCCATGCACTGCCTCCACCCCATCCAGCTTCCTCCTGCTAACCCAGGAAGGACCATTTAGGGAGCTTCCTCCTTGCTGCCCTGTAGCCCACTGGTAGCCCACTGTGGTGGGGGAGGAGATGTTAAAATACAAAGTTGATCCCTGCCCACCCATGACCAGAACTCTCCCTTGGGTTGTCAGAACAAAAGGCAATGTCCTGGAACCAGCAGATGATGTAATTAATGGTTACTCCCACAGAGTCGACAGCAGTTCAAGTCCCAGACCAGGCAGCTTAAAATTCACATGGAGTTGGGGCCAGCAGGTGGTTTGGTGGTTAAGGTGTTGGATACTCCCATATGGTTTGCCACAGTTCAAGTCCTAGACCTGGAAGCTTGCTTTCTCACTTTCTCTTTTCTCTCTCTCTCTCTCTCTCATCAAATTAAAAAATAACAATAACAACAAATAAAATTAAATAGTCTTAAATTTTTTTTAAAGTGCAATTCTCACTTTTTTTTAAGCGAGAGATTTTTGCTATAGTTTACATGTTCTTGCCAGAGAGACAGAAGTCACTCCCTGGGGGAATGGTCTTGTTGCAATCCCTTCTCCTCCATTCTTCTCTTCAAATTTTGGGCATGCACACACATGTGCCTGACATGAGTTTTTAACATGTTGGGTCCAGGACTTGAACCATAATAGACTAACATGGGAGTCCAGTGACGTAACCATTACACCATCTGCTAATTCCACAACTACCACTTCTAATAGAGTTAAACATATTTACCAGACCAGTAATTCCACACCTCAGGATTTATCCAAGAGAAATGAAAATATATGTCTACACAGAGAGTTGTACATTAATGTTCATACCATATACCAAGATAAAACAGCCCAAATGTCCATCAACAAAATGTCGCAGAGGCATACCACTGAATGCTACTCAGCAATGAAAAGTAATGAACTGGGGCCAGCAGGTGGTGTGGCAGTTAGGGGTCCTGGACTCCCACAAGGCCGACCATGGTTTGAGTCCCAGACCAGTTTTCTCTCTCTCTTTCTCTCTCTCTCTCTCTCTCTCTCTCTCTCTCTCTCTCTCGTGTGTGTGCACACCTATTTTTAAAATAATGATGATGATGATAAAAAAAATTAAATAAATAACACCTTATTTAAAAAAAAAAAAAAAGGAAAAAAGAAAAGTAATGAATCAGACACACACAGGATGAACCACAACCAGACCATGCCAAATGAAAGAAGCTTGAGTCTATTTACATGAATGCTAGAAAAGAGAACTCTAATTACGGTGAAAGAAAACTAATGAGTGATCTAGGTCAGTGTGGTGGAGTAGGAGTCAGGATTGACTGCAAAAGGGCATGAAGGATCTTCCTGGAATTGTAGGAAGATTCTGTCACTTGTTTGTAGTGGTGAGGACTCAGGTACACTCCATAGATGTACACAACTATGAAAACTCACAGGACAAGGCCCAGCCACAGTGGTGGGCACCAATAAGACACTATGCTCTGCAGGCTGGAACCACTTGGGAGTCCTGAGTTTGATTTCTGGCCCACGCTATAGGCCAGGTGCAGTGGCATGTATCTGTAACCTCAGCAACTCAGGGAGGCTAAGGAAGGAGGATTGTGAGTTCAAGGCTAGCCCCGGAAATAGAGCAAGACCCTGTCTGAAAAAGAACCAGGTATGGCGACATACATGTAATTCTAAGCTAGAAGGCTGAAACAGGAGGATGATAACATGATAAGACCCTCTCTTCAAAAAAATTTTTAAATTCAGGCCAGTAGGTGGTGTGATGGTTAAGATGCTAGACTCCCATACGGCCGACCACAGTTTGAGTCTCACACCTGGCAACTTGCTTTCTTACTTTCCCTCTCTCACTCCTTCTGTATCTCTCTGGTGAATTAAATTAATAATATTAATTAATTGATTGATTTAACTAATTTTTCCCTTTTTCACTTATTTATTTATTTTTACATTTTCCCACAAACATTTACTTTACATATCAAAAAATTTTGCTCATACTCCATAGTTCTTGACAGTTAATAAACAACTTTTAAAATATCAAAATACTGGGATCAGCAGGTGGCGTAATGGCTACGTCACTGGACTCCCATGTAGCAGACCGTGGTCTGAGTGCCGGATCCGGTGGCTTAAACTCACACCAGGTGCATGTGCGTGCATGCCCAAGATCCCAAGACAAGAATGGAGGAGAAGGGATTGCGGTATGGCCATCCCCCTGAGGGATGATTTCTCACTTTCTGTCTCTCTGTCTCTCTCTGTCTTTCTGGCAAATGCACATGCCCTATAGCAAAAATCTCTCCAAAAGAAAAAATTGTTTCAAAATACTGAATTTTAAAGATAATGTTCAAAATATTTCTTATAATTTTGTATAAGTTTGTTTATAACTCTATATCAACAGAGACAGTATGGTTTTAAATATTTTTTTAGAGGTTTTTTTGGGTTTTTTTGCTATGCGAAAACCTCTTAAAAAAAAAAGATAATGTTCAAAATATTTCTTGTAATTTTGTATAATCCTGTTTGTGACTCTATAACAACAGAAACAGTTTGGTTTTAAATATTTCTGAGAAAATATTTACATGTCAACTACTCAAATTGTTGAAAAGCAAATGCCCAGCACACAAGTCACACATAAACCTTCTCAATTCAGCCCTGCCTACCAAGTTTCTGTGATATATCAGCTGCTAGCAAAGATCAGTCTCTTTTTCTTCATTCAACGTCTTTTTCAAGATAATCCTCTGGTGTGGTTGCTCTTTTGCAGTCTCTACTGATTACAATGCTGGGCTGGAAAAGTCCAGGTTATTTTATGTTATAAATTCTTTCATATATCTTCTCTAATCCTCTCTGCCAGGCAGAACTATTTTGGGGGCCAGGCCATCTTTTTAAGAGCTTCTGTTGGCTTACTTGAGATCCACCTTAGTTCCACAGTTTCCTGATTAATCTTCAGATATGACATTTCGGTCAAAGCCCTGTCCAATATGAGTATTTCCAATTTCTGAGTTAATACAACAAGCATTACTGAACTTATGCAAATAACCTTTCTGCCACAAAATAAGAATACTCCCAAATATTTCCAATTCAAGAAGGGTCAGGAAGGAAGAAAAGTTTGTTTCCATTTAAAGAAACAAACAAGAAAAATATTTTAACAAGTTGCTGAACCCACCAACAACTCAAAAGAAAGTAAAATGCTTAAATTGGGAAAAACAAAGCAAAGTAAAAAAAAAAAAATCAGTAATGTTTTACTCAAAAGTCATAAAATTCTGCTTCGCCAGATCAGTCTTATGTTCAAACTCTTCTGTTGAATATGCAGTTTTATCGTGGTCCAATCTTTCCATTTAAATCCTGGAAGGTAACACTCAATGTTATTATTGATACTTCTTGTTCCTAGCATGAAATTGGTCATTTTCTTGGTTGGCTTTCGTTCTCTTATTTCTGTATGTGTCTTTAGTTTTCCTGGGAGAGAACTCCTTTCAGAACTTCTTGAAGAGTGGGTCTGCTATTGGCAAATTCTTTCAAGTCTTGTTTATCTGAGAATGCTATTATGCTTTCTTTCCATATGAAAGATAATCTTGCTGGGTATAGTATTCTTGGTTGAAACTGTTTTTCACTTAACATTTTGAATATATTTTCCCATTCTTTACTTGCTCGCATTGTTTCTGATGAGAGGTCTGCTGTTAGCCTGATGGGATATTCTTTGTAGGTAACTTGCCATTTCTCTCTCTTGTCAATATTAGTATCTTGTTTTGGTTTGTAGATTTGGCCAGTCTAGCTATGATTTGCCTTGGAGAAGATCTTCTTGGGTTGATTCTATCAGGGCTCTATATTTCTTGGGTCTGGATATTTGAATGCCTCTCTAGATTTGTAAAGTTTTCTTCCAAGATTCATGGATTAGATTATCAATGTCCTTATTAGTTTCCCCATCTTCTGGGATACCGATTATCCGTATTCTCATTTTGGGGGGGTTATTTTCTCAGGTCTTTTTTGTTGTTTTTTCCTAGATCAGATGTTTTGCCTTCCACATCTGAGATTCGATTTTCTGCATGGACTAATCTGCTTTTTGTCTAGAAGATGTAGTTTAGAGCATAGCTTCCCTGAACAGGCCAGGACACACCTCAGCTTTAAATTGCCTTCTAGGCTGAATATTTCAGGAGTCTGGAAGATGGAGTTTAGAGCATAGCTTCTCTCAATTAAATTAATTTTTAAAATAAAAATCTAAACTTTTTATAGAACTATATCACTAAAAGGGGTAAATTGTGTTGCACATCAATTATACCTTTAAAAAAAGAAAAAGAGAAATAAAGTGAAAATCTCTAGTGTCCCACTTTTTCTTTTTTTTTTTTAAGGTTTTTGCTATAGGGTGCATGCACTCACCAGAGACAGAGAGAGACAGAGAGACAGAAAGCGAGAAACCACCCCCCGGAGGGATGGCCACGCCACAGTCCCTTCTCCTCCATTCTCCTCTCAGGATCTTGGGCATGCATGCACACGTGCCCGGCGTGAGTTTAAGCCACTGGGTCCGGGACTTGAACCACGGTCAACTACATGGGAGTCCAGCAACATTACGCTAACTGCTAGTCCCTAGTGTCCCACTTCTCTTGCCTGCTTTGTTTTTCTCCATATTTTTACTCTCCAGTATACATTGCCTGTGTCTGCACTAGAACGTCAGCTTCACAAGGGCAGGAATTTTTATTTGTTTTGTCCTCTGCTGTATCTTTCGTGCCCAGAAAAGTATTTGGCACATAGTAGGTAGTCAATGAGTATTGGACAAATGAATGAATGAATGAATTCAGTCCCTGCAGGCTCAGAATGGAGGATCTTCATCTCAGGATGGAGATGGCTGTTTTGAAGAGTCCATACACCCACCTGGAGTTTGCAAGACAAACAGAAGGCAGGCAGGGCCTGTGAGACTGTGGTAAGTGTCATCGTTCTGTCCTGGGCTGCGTCATCGCTTAGACATTCAAACGACGCCATCCCAGGGGCTGTGTCATGCCTCCACCAACCTTGGCAGGCAGCCCAGCCCAGAACCTGACGCCCATTGGCTGGGATTTCCCATGGGTGCTGTGCATGTGGAAACCAAAATATTACCGTAGAGGGTGGAGCCACAAAACCAAGCTGGGCAGAGCCCAGAATGTGGCCTGAGGTTGCCCGGGGGCAGTAGCTGGCTGGGCCTGCAGACCTGATGTTTGGGTGTCTATCTGTTTCAAGTTTCTTGCCTACTTTCTTTCACTCTATTTTAAATTTTTTTTTAGTTTTTCTGCATAGGTAATATATTCACACAATCGAAGATTCAAGAGGTACAAAAAGGAAAAAGCAAGTCTCCCTCCCACCCCAGACCCCAGCCAGCTGATTCCCTCCCCAGAGGCAACCAATGTGAGGATTCCCTGTACAATTCATCCTCCAGGGAGACTTCCTGCCAGGCCCAGAGCATATGGCCATGTATGCATCCCTATTTTACAAACGGCAGCACACGCACGTATTGCTCTACACGCTGTGTTCACTGACCCACATATCTTGTGATTCCATGTCAAGTGCGAGCAGGGTGCTTTCCAGATGGCTGCACCGGAGTCCAGACGTGCTGGGCCCAAGGATACTTAGCATCTCTCACTACAGGCATTTCCAGTTGTTTGCTGTTACAAACCATGGTGTGATAAATAGCATTATATGCTTGTAGGGGGGTATTTTCACACTTAAATAGTTGCTTGCCCACATTTAAACGGTGAGAAAATAATACATACTGTACATTTTTTGAGGCCTTGCTTCCCAGGAGAATGCAGACTCTTTGATCCCACTATGGGTGGTGACACTGGGCTGGGTCGAGGCCCTCACATTCATTCTTGTCCCACCCCAATTTGCCAAGAGGAACACTGAGACCCAAACAGGTAGACACGCCTGCACAGCTGTGCAACAAATACCACTGGCCTTAAACCACAAATGGGTGAGTGCTGAGGCCTCCGCCCTCCTTGGCTGTGCGACCTTGGGCCAGGCGTCCAGGCACATGGCCTCCCTGTTCTCGGACTAGTGCCCACTTCACACTGGCACCCACTCCTGGAACAAGCACCCCTGGAGCACCTGGCTTCATATCTGGCACAGAGTGGGCTCCTGAGGCTTGATAGATGTTCATTAGTTTTTTGTTTTGTTTTCCAATTTGCCCGAGGGTGTATGTGCTCACTGGAAAGAGAAAGAGAGACAGAGAGGGAAAGTGAGAAAGTACTCCCCATGGGGAATGACCACATCGCAATCCCTTCATCTCTCCCTCCTTTCGGGACTTTCATGAACACACGGGTCTGGTGTGTATTTCAAGCAACCGGGTTCAGGACTAGAACTGTTAGATCCCACATGGCTGATTACATAGTTTGAGTCCCTGACCCAACAGCTTAAAAATCATGCTGGGGGCCAGCAGGTGGAATGGTGGTTAAAGCAGCTAGATTCCCACATGGCTGGCCATGGTTCAAGTCCCAGACCTAGCAATTTGCTTTCTGACTTCCCTTCTTTCTCTCTGTCTCTCTCTCTGGTCAACTTCAAAAGTAAATAAATAAATATAGAATAATGACAATGAATTAAAAAAATTTAAAAACATCACACCAGGTGTATAAGTGCATATGCCCAAGATTCCAAGAGGAGAATAGAGGAGAAGGGATTGTAGTATGGCCATCCCCCCCATGGGAGGTGAATTCTCACTTTGGCGCTCTCCGTCTCTTCTCTGGTGAACACACACGCCCTATAGCAAAAACTAACAAAACAAACAAACAAACAACTTCCTTGAGAATTGTGAGACCACAGTGCGCACACTCAGAGCTGCCTGAATGTGTTCATCCAGGGTGCGCACTGGGCGCAGTCCTCGCACTTAGGCCCAAATAAACTCCTTTTTCTGTACACGCTTTAACTGAGCCTCCCTTTTTAGGTTGAGTGTGTGTGTGTGTGTAATCCTTCTAAAGGTTTAAATGTTTAAATATTTGCAACAGATTACAATTTTTTAAACCTGTGTAATGCATACATTAGTCCTGATTAAGAGATTTGTCTTACTGGCAGACTGGGACGAGGTGGCAGGAGCAGGCTATAGTCCACTCAGTTCGTATGTAGCAAAGGCAGGATATGAATGCTGGGCCACTGGCTCCAGATGCTCTTAACCACCAGTTATCAGAGACCTGGGGCTCTGGAAGTGAAGGGAGGGTGCTCATGCGCACACACACACACACACACACACACACACACACACATGCACGCGTGCTGGCAAAGCAGGGCTAGGCTAGAGTGGTAACTGCACCATGTCCTGGACGTGTACCCTCAGGAGACAGCTGTCCTCACTGAGCCTCAGTGTCCCAACCAGAAAAGTAGCTACCGTGCAGGGGTGAGATCAGACACAGACCAAGAAAAGGCTTTGCGAGCTGCAGAGACTGGAGGCCTATAGAGGATTAAGGGATTTATCCCGAGGTGGACACAGAGGGGGAGGGAGGGTGGGGAGGGAGATCAGGGACATCCCACAGACCCGGTTTGCCCTTAAGAATCTCTGGAACTGCCTGGCTCAGCTGTCAGGTGGCCTCACTCCCAGCGCAGCGTCAGGCTGGCGGGCTCCAGACAGAGCCCCTGGCCCCAGCTGGACACCACAGTGAGGGTAAGGGCCAAGCTCAAGGCTAGGCTATTTTCAAACCCCAGAAGCCCCGGAAGAGACCCCAGCTCCCTTCCTTCCCCACAGCCCTGTCCTCTTTCCAGGCTGGGGTCTTCTTTCCCCATTTTAGAACCTCCCTAGAGAACACAAAGGCCTCACAGCTCAACTGGGGGAACCAAGGAACAAAAAGGAAAACAGTTTATCTGGGCCACTCGGCTAAGCTTGAACCCAAACCATCCATTTGCAGGAGCCGGTTCTTTCCAGTCCAGCATCCACTCAGTCGGTTCCACTCATTCTTTCATTCAGCCCATGTTTATGGAACACCTACTGTCTCCCAGAGGCTGAGGACTCAGCCTAGAACATAGCGAGGCTGACCTGCTGCAGCTGCATGCTTGCGAGAGATACAGACAAGACGTACATCCTGGAGCCACTGCTGAATACAAGCCAGGAAGCCATGCGTGCTAGGAGGAAGGATACACTAGACTAGGAAGGCTGAGACAAATGCCACCGGGCCGTGAACTCTGCCCCAGCTCTGAGCCACCACCACCTCCCAAACCAGATGCTGAGGGCTCAGCTGGAGGGGAGAGGGAGAGGTGGTCAGGAAAGGGCTCTCTGAGGACATACCAAGTAGGTGGAGATTAGAATGAAGTGAGAGAATCTGTCAGGTGGCTCTCTGGGGTAGCATAGATACTAGCAAAGGGCCCTGAGGTAGGAATGCATCCGGTGTGTTCATGGATCAGCAAAGAGGCAGCATGACTGCAGCAAAGTTAATAAAGGGGGATTGGACGAGTAACAGGGATGAGATCATGAGGGTCCACAGACTTTTGGATTTTATTTCAGGCTTTCTGGCAAGATAGACCTTCAGATTGTTCACCTTCAGCCCTAATGCCATCTAGCCCCACTCGCCTTCTCCCCATTCCTAGCGTCTTCTCCCACCACAGGGCCTTTGTGCACGCCCTTGATCTAGAATCTGTTCCACTCCTATCCCCTCTTCTCTTGGTTAACTTCATCCCATCTATCACAATTCAGTTCAAATATCTCAGACTTCCCAGCTCTCCCTGGTCACGTCAGCAATCTCTTCTCCCAGGATCTGATCTTACCATTTAAATGATTAGAACGATCAATAATATCTGTTCTGTGAGCGTCCCAAGGTCAGGTGGTTTGGTCAATCTTGTTCACTGCAATAATCTCTGGGGATGACCAGGAGTTAGCTCACATATGCTGCTTTAAAGGAACAAATGAATACTAGAAGTGCTCTATAGAGATTGTCTCACTCATTCCATTTTATCACATTACAGAAGCTCGGAGAGGCAGACGACTTGACTACGGTCAGACAGCCAGAGTATGGCACAGTTAGGATTGGAACTCAGGTCCTTCTGATTCCGAAGTTGAGAACTCTCCCCTAGATCTTGACCTGGCACGCACAGGTAAGTTACTTGAAAATCAGCTACCATCATTCTTCCATGCCTGTACTCACACCCTTTGGTAACATGTCTAAGAGATGGAGTTTATTTCTTCTCCCCCTGAGTTTGAATTGGCCATGTCATTTTCTCTGGCTACTGGGATATTTGTAATCAGGACACAAGAAAGAGGCTCAAAAGCACTCGTGTATCAAAGCTGGTCCTCTCTTGCTGAATATGGAACCCTGAAATCACCATGTGAATGAGTCCCAACTAGCCACATCCAGATGAACTGAAGCACCCAGCAAATGGCTTGCCAACTGGCAGGCACATGAGCGAGCTATCCAAGGCCACCCAGCCTCAGCTCACTGCAGCTAGGTAAGCCTAGATCTACCCAGCTGAGCCCAGGCCACATTGCCAATTTACATTGTTGGCCAATGGGTTTAGGGTAGTTTGTTACACAGCAAAACCTAGCTAATACACATGCCCCTTACAGCCACATATACACACACATAGCCATCCCTAACCCCACATATCCATTTATCCAGACCACTCTCCTGGCTGTTCACATCAGTGTAACCACAGCTCCTGGGAATGTATGAGTCAATACTGCCAGGGCTCCATGTCCCTGGCACTACACAGCACAATGCTGGGTGTGGAGAAGGCACTCAATAGACATTTCTTGAATGAATGGATGAATAAAGTGAAGGGCACAGAAAGGGCCAGAGATCAGCACCAGTGGCAGATGAGAAGGAACCAGGATGGAATGGGAATAGGAGCCGAGAGCCTACCTGTGAGTGGAGTGATGTGGTTAAGTGTTGGGCTTTGGAACCCAACTGCATGAGTTCAAATACCATTTCTGCAGCTTCCTAGCTGTGTGACCATGGGCTAGTCACTTGAACTTTCTTGGTCTGTTTCCCTATCTATGAAAATACTACCTCCCTCAGGGACCACCAGCAGATGGTGGTTAAGGCACTAGATACTCTCCTATGACCAACCACAGTTCGAGTCCTGGATCTGGACCTGGACCTGGTGGCTTGCTTTCTCACTTTCTCTATCTGTGTGTGTGTGTGTGTGTGTGTGTGTGTGTGTGTGTGTCTAGTCAAATTAAAATAAATGAATAAATAAAATGAAATTAAAAACAATTCTTTAAAAAAAAAAAAGAAAATACTACCTCCCTCAAAAGGCCTGCAGGATGAGAGTTCTCAGTATAGGTCCTGGAACGTGGTACCCTTTCCCATCAGGACCCTCTCCCCCTTCAATGATACCTCCTCTGAGAAGCCCACAGCCCATCTGCCCCTGCTGCCCTGCCATCCACAGCCTCCTCTGTCTCTCACAGCCTTTCATGAATCCATCAAGGGATGGGAAGATCATTGCTATATACTCAGAACACAGCCCCAGACCACATGGTTAGGGAGTGATTGTAGAATGACTGAATGATCCTCATTTTACATGTGAGTTAATCTAGGGTCCTAGAGGGCCTGAGATTCCCAAAGGTGTGTGTGCTGGGAGGTTTCCAGAAAGATGGAACAGGGGCAGGGATCAGGGGTGGCAGCTTCAGTGTTTGCACTTCTTATCCGACTTATGTGGGCAAGGACATCAGCTGTCTGGCTACCACTGTGAGCAGGGCCCAGTGGAGCTCCTGGCCCACAGTGGGTGCCCGCAAAGGTTATCTTGCAGACTATACTTGAGATGCTAGTTTATAAATTGGCTCCAGGGCAGATGGTAGTGCAGCAGTAATGCAACTGGGCCCACATGGGAAAGCCAAGGGTTCACATCCCTAGACCTCTCTACACACACTGAACACACGTGCCCATCATCCAGACTGGCTGAACTGAGGTTGGACTGTTAAATCGTCCTTAAGAATATTAATAATCATCAAAAGAAAAAAGTGGTCTGGGGACTGGCTCTGTGGCTCAGTGGCAATGTGCTACTCAAGAGAAGCTGGATCCCACACGGCAACCACACTTTAGATTCCCAGCCCAGTCAGTCTGAAACACACAGGGCACAAGTGCAAGATCCATGCAAGAGCCCAAGATCCAGCGGGCTGGAGGAAGGGGACTGCAGTCACCAGACCCTGTGGAAGGTGCTCGTCACTCTCGCACTCTCTCTCTTTCACACATGCATGCACACACACTCTATCATGAATAAAGAAAAAAATCTTTTTTTTAATGAAATGATTTGACCACTTACTGGTTACTTTACATTTTGAATCCTCCGAACAAACCAATAACCTAATTTTTCGTATTTATCTTACTGGGGCACGAGTAGGTTAAGTCACTTGCCCAAGATCACACAGCCAGTTAGGGGAAGGGCTGGCATTCGACGCCAGGCAGTCAGGCTGCATTTGGCCACCACGTGAAGACATCACACCAGACAGTCAGTATTGTCTAAAATTAATCAAGGAAACAGCAGGAACAGGAAGGTATTTAGAAATATGAAGGAAAGCACCAGAAGAAAAAGTTAAGAGTTAAAAGAGACTGCTTTGGGGGAGTAGGGCAAGGCAGGAGAAGGCAAGGGTAAGGAAATGTTATTGTTTTTTAGATTATTACCATAGGGCATGTGCGATCACCAGAGAGACAGAGATTGACGGTGAGAAATCCCCCCCCCCCAGGAAGAATGGCCATGCTGCAGTCCCCTTCCCCTCCATTCTCCTCTCTGGATTTTGAGCACACATGCACACACACTCAGAGTGCTTTTCAAGCTGCTGGGTCAGGGACTTGAACTGCAGAGTTGGCCATGTGGGATCCAGCACCTTAACCGCACACCACCTGCTGGCCCCAGAAATGATTTTTTTTTTATTAGTGCTGTTTGATTTATATAGATACAGAGATGTGTCTATGAGGTGGAGCCAGGAACTGGGGGCAGGGCAGAGATATAAGGGAACTTCCCATAGTGACAGCAATGTTCTGCATCCTGATTGGAGTTGAGTACAATGTGTATGTGACTAATGTCAGCAAATAGTACCTCTAAGATCAGTGCATTTCACTGGATGTAAATTTTACCTCCAGGAAAAAAAAAAGAAGGGGAAGGTAAACTAATATTGAACTCCAGCTAACAGTATGCACGCTGAAGTGTCTCTAATGAGAAAGTGTGCTAATGTGAGAAACTTATTTTGTAAAGGAAAAAAATAAAGAAAGAAACTTTATTGGAGGTCGGGCAGTGGTACAGCAAAAAAAGCGAAGTTCAGTGAGGCTGACTCCCATGGAAGGTTCCAGATTCGCATTGAGCAACCCCTCTGAGTACACAGGGCATGCGTGTCGTGATCTGGGGCTAACTGAGGCTAGATCTAGGCATGAAGACTTTGTCAGAGGTGCTATCTCTCTGTCTTGCACACTGAAGAAATAAATAAGCAAACTGTAAAAAGATTACAAATGGGGGATCAGCAGATGGCATAATGGCTACATCACTGGACTCCCATGTAGTCGGCCGCAATTCAAGTCCCAGACCCAGTGGCTTAAACTCACACCAAGCACGTGTGCATGCATGCCCAAGATCCCAAGAGGAGAATGGAGGAGAAGCTATTGCTGCGTGGCCATCCCCCCTCGGGGGTGATTTCTTGCTTTCTGTCTCTCTCTTTCTGGTGAACGCACCGCCTTATAGCAAAAACCTCTCCAAAAATAAAATACAAATGGATGGATATAGGGATGGATGGATGGGTAGATTTCTGACAGAGCAAATACAGCAAAATATTTTTTCTTCAAAAAAATTTTAATTCATGCTAGAGGGTGCGTACATGAGAGAGAGAAAGACAAGCACGTTCCACGAGATCAAGTCACACCATGATCCTCTTCCTCCAGTCCTCCAGCCCACAGGATCTCGGGCACTTGCATACGTGCTCGGCGTGTTTCAGGCTGACTAGGTCGGGGATTCGAATTACAGTCTTCACGTGGAATCCAGCTTCTCTTGAGTAGCACTTTACTCATCACCCAGCCAGCCAGAGCAAAATAGTAACAATGTGTATTAGTAGGTGTGTGCACGAATGTTCACTGTATAATTCATTCTAGTTTTCTTTATATTTTAATTTTTTAGAGAGATTTTTGCTATAAGGTGCATGCACTCACCAGACAGACAGAGACAGAAAGCAAGAAATCACTCCCCAGGGGGATGGCCATACCACAATCCTTTCTCCTCTCCTCTCAGGATTTTGGGCACACACACACACACCTGGTGTGAATTTTAAGCTGCCAGGTCCAGGACTCAAACCATGGTCAACTACGTGGGAGTCCAGCAACAGTAACATTTATGCCATCTGCTGGTCCCAAGTGAGAAAGCAAGCTGCCAGGTCTGGTACTCAGGCTGTGGTCGGCCATGTGGGAATCTAGCACCTTAACTACTATACCACCTGCTGACACCTGAATTCATTCGTTTATTTTTATTTATTTCATTTTTTATGAGATTTTTGCTATACGGCACATGCACACACCAGAGAGACAGAGAGACAGAAAGCAAGAAATCAATCCTCGGGCAGATGGCCATACCACAATCCCTTCTCCTCCATCTCCTCTCAGGATTTGGGGCACATATGCACACATGCCCAACGTGAATTTGAAGCTACTGGGTCCAGGACTCAAACCTCAGTCAACCACATGGGTGTCCAGTGATGTAACTTTACATCATCTGTTGGTTCCTGTTTTTTAATAACACAAGGGGAAATACATGAGTCCATTAGCCAAAAAATAATGTTACATTTTTTTAGAGGTCTTTGCCTTAGGGCACGTGTGCTCACCGGAGAGAGAGACAGAGACAGCAAGAGGAAAAGTGAGAAATCACCCTCCAGGGGGATGGTCATGCTGCAATCCCTTCTCCATTCTCCACCCAGGATCTTGGGCATGCATGCACACACACCCGGCATGATTTTGAAATCACCAGGTCCAGGATTCAAATCACAGTCAGCCATGAGGGAGTCCAACGACACAACCACTACACCATCTGCTGGTCCCAATATTACACTTTTCTAAATCTCCACGGTTTCTGTAGCTGTTCTGCCTTGGGCCTGGATGGACCTGAGCATCTCTAAGCCCTCCTGTATGCTTGTCTATCTGGGGACTGTGCTTTCACCTTGTCCCCACCCTAATTCCCCAGCTCCCCTTATATACAGGATGTCAGGAAGCGTGGAATCTCCTCGGCCTGGCTCCCATGAATGCCTCAATAGCAGGGACAGAACTATTTCATAGGGACAGGAACAGGCCCCTGCAGCTACATTCCATCCTTCACCAAAAGGGTAAACTGAGGTCCTGCTGGAGGGAGTGCCTTTCCCAGGGCCCACCACTCCTTCATGACAAAGTGAACAGCCAGGTTGCCTGTCTCCGAAACCCACGTGTATATAATTAGCTGGTGAGAAATAGACCAGGCAGCAGATCTCATCTCAGCCTAATTAGGGGCTGGGCAGCTGGGGCCAGGCTGGCCTGGGAGAGCTGCTAAGAGGCTGGGCAGCCCCAGGAGATGGGGCAGCAGCTGCAGGTTTTTGGAGGGGCTAGAAAGCAGGGGCTGTGGCTTAGAACGACCTAACCATTCACATTCCAATTGGGGCAGAACAATACAGGGACTGCTTCTGCAGATCCCAGGAGCTGCAGCACGGGGGTGAGGAGGTACTGCCAAAAGCCCCAGCCTGTTACAAATGCCTGTATGGGATGTTGGAAGGCTGGGAGGGTGCAGAAGCCCTCTCAGGACCAAGCAGCACCTATTCTAGAAGTTGAGGCTTAGCCTGGCGTTGCTCCCATTTCCAAGAACCCCACACTGCTCTGTTAAGAGACCTTCCCAATGCTCTCATCCACGATCAGCTGGCCAGTGCCTGGGAGCAGCACTAAATATACCTGTTCTACACAATCTGACCAGGATGGGCTGCTGCTTAGTTGCCAGTTTTCTTCCTCCAGACTAAGGTGTGGAACCCCACCTGTCCTGTCCACTGCTGCCCCAGTAGATGCTCACTAATAAAATGACCAAAAGGAATGGCAGTTGGAGGAGGAAGAAAAGAGGGGCATGAGTTGGGAGAATCAGGGATCCAGGGATTACGGACTATGGGGTGTCTCATAGGCCAGGGTGTGATACAGGCTGTTATGCAGAACTGCTGTGTGACAGCCCACAAGTCACTACCTTCTCTGAGCTCAACTTCTTGCTCTGTGACAATATACCTGAACCTAGAAAAGTCATCTTGAGAGTCCAGTGAACCCTCCAGAAATAAGGGGTCACTGCCAGTCCTGTGACCCAAAGTTCAATTCCGTCACATGTAAAATGCAGCCAAGCATCTACCTTCTTAGGTTGCTGGGAGCTGCCATGGGGTGGTGACCAGCACAGTCTCAGCTGGGTTGTCAGGGGGCTAGTCTCTGGCACCTCAAGGGGCACCAGCTCAAGGGGCCTGCCTGAATCAGCCCCCTGACTCCTTCCCTCCTTTGGCAATGGGGACCCAAAAAGCCCAGCTCCTGTACTGCTAAACTGCTGGGCAGCTGTGGCCAGGTCGCCACCCTCCTCATGCCTCAGTTTCCCCAACTGTATCACAGGTGATAGGCTCCACTCTCCTGAGCTTGAACACCAGCCTCTTCTATAACCCAACTTCCCCTCCTTTTCCCCAGACTGCCCCGGCCCATCCCAGATCCCTGGGGGCTGGCTGTAAAAGACAGACGGACAGTCAGACAGACAGCTGGGCTGACCTGGATATTTGTCAACAGCCCAACGGAAATCTCCTCTTTATGCTTAAAATAAAACCTACATCAAACCTGTCACCAAGGCCTCCATTAGAGCTTCCTGTTTCTGAGAGCTACAGCGAGGCAGCCCGCGGGAGAGGAAGCGCCACCCAGAACTCCCCATTCCTGCCCCTGGAGAGGGGGCAGAGAGGTCACCCTGGCTCTCACCTTCTGTGTGCCCAGCCCTAGCCCTGGCCTAGGGCCCTGGCCGCTCCTAGGCAAGGGTAACTAATCTGAAGGGAGGCTGGAAGGGGCTGAGCCCTCACAGCCCGGTGCCGGCCCTGTCCCACCCCCTCTCCCCCGGCACTGGACATAACACGAAGGGCCCAAAATGCAGGTGACTAACTCAAGGAGGACTGTGCCACTTGTCTCCCACAAAGGCCCAGGAAGGAACCTGCCTTGCCCAGGGCCACCCAGGAGGCAAGGCCAGTCTGCTCCAAGTCCCTCTTCCTCAAAGAACTACTTCCCACCCCCACACTGTGGCCTGTGTGGCCTCAAGTTCAGAGTCTGCCCTCTCTGAGTTTCCTGTCCCCTTGAAAACTGGGAAAGGGTGGGGGAGTGTGGAACCTCCATGACTGGGGAGGGTCTTTGCATCCCTGTCCAACCTTCCCCTGTAGGTCCCCTTCCTGGTGCAGGAGGAAGACCCCAGGCCTAGTACCAGCCCTTTGCCAACTCACTCTGTGACCAGACCTCAGCTTCCTCCTTTTTGTAAATAAAAGAATTTATTTAATTTTATGTGTTCATTCATTTATTTTTAATTTGACCAGAGAGAGGCACACAGAGAGAGAGGGAAAGTGAGAAAGTAAGCCACCAGGTCTGGGTCTCAAACCATGGCTGGCCATGTGGGGGTACCCAGCACCTTAACCACTATACCATCTACTGGTCCCTCAGCTTCCTCCTTTATGAAGAATGCCAGCAGGCCTCCCAGAGCAGTTATGAGGACACTCTGTGGGGCAAGACTCAGGCCCCACCAGATCGTGGGGTGAACAATTATTAAGTTGTTCATTTATACCCCAAGACTTCTCCCACCCCGACCCCTTGTGAGCACATAAACATCTAAAGGCCCAGCCCTTGAGAAACAAGCATCTGTATTTATTAACAAGGGGAGGGAACCAGTGCAGTACAGATTCCTGCCCAGTCCCTCCTGTAGACTACCTACCTAGGCCAGCCTCCAAGGGCTGGGAAGACAGGAGACAGGCTCACTCTGCCCTGCCCCCTCCCCAGGGTGAGGTCCAGGGAGCCAGGGCCCACTGGGTAAAGAAGAGGAAGTCAACAAAGGCCAGGGACCAAGGAAGGAGGAAGCAGAGCCAGTGGGCAGACAAACTCGGCAAGATCCCTCCTCCCCTCACTCTGAGGAAGGCTAAGCACCCCAAATCCAGCCCAGGAGAGGAACCACACAGAAGTATAGTCATGTCCAAAAACCTTGTATGTGGGGTGGGGGTGGGGAATCCAGGTCAAGAGCATTTCTCTCCAGGGTCAGTCCTTCTGAGAGGATGCTGGGCCAGCCTCTAAGCCTCCATACTAAGTTCACATACGGGCACAAACTGATTTGCCCCGAGCCAGGGAATGGATGCAAGAGAAGTCAGGGGACCAACTGGCTCCCTCATATCTGTCCTATGGCGAACGCTGAGTCCACTGGCGGCCTAGCCCTCAGCGGCTGGGGCCCCCCCCGGCCGCCCGCA